GGAAGATTAACTCCCGATACTAACGAGAGTTCGATCGTTGTTTTCTAGGAAATCTCGTCCAAAGAACCACATTCATATGTATTCTTCGCTATACTTGGATACTTGTATCTGTCATATTTCTGAGGAATCATATCTCAAAAATATCCGAGATTATATTATTCAAAAGTTCAGCTCACCGTTGGTTTTGTTACAAAGATAGTTTTGTAATCGGTATTGACGGTAATCGGAAACAACGAGTTTCTAGCTTGCGGAAAAACATATGCACAAATATAAAGCGCGCACAATTAGATTGCAGATCTACTTTCGTCCCTTCTCCCTCTCCCTTCCTCCTCTTCTATCTTTTCGCTCTCTTTTTTCTCACTCCTGTACCCTTGGTCTATCTTTTTTGCTCGACAACGTGCTTCCGTAACAAGGGCCTAACAGAGCTGTCAATCCATCGATAAATTGAATGGAGGACCTAAAACCACCCTATATTCTCCGCTGCCCTTCACCCCCTTTCATCCATGCGCCGCGTACTCTTACACCCTATCGGCGGCGGTGGCGGCGGCTCGAGAGACCGGCACGATATTTTTTTTCCATAACACAAAAACGTCCGTCTCTGCAACTGACGTGTGATTCGGCTACCCTCACGAGAGGAGATTTAAGGAAGCGGAAAACTGACCGGATGTCGAAGGATGGAGTTTTTCATCCGCGACGTTGGTCCGCATGAGAAGATGAAACGTAAATCAAGTTTGTTCACGTTTTTGTCTATCAATTATCAAGAATTAAGTTTCACTTTCTATATGCAGAATTTAAATAGAACGTTTTCATTCATGAATTAATAATAACTGTCTGTTGTTGGTTTAAAATTTACATTTTGTTGGGGCGTCACTTATATAAAATTTTATCGTCGGAAGTCAAGGCGATCGTGAAATCAAGTAATATTTGGCTGTCATTTAACAGATCGCTATTATAACGGGCGAGAGTGGTTGTCGAGAGTGAATTTCTATCGTGGAATAAGTTACCAGAGAAAAAGGGCTTTGTAAGGGAGAAATTCGGTTTTGAAGGGGGCTGGATTCTGAGGTAGATGGAAGTACGAAGGCGAGAAGGAGAGAGAAAGGGTGAGGGAGAGCAATCTACCCCACGCGCTCGCCTCTGCTTTCGCACACACGAGCAAATCCCCTCGTTTTTGGATTTTCGGGTAAAACGGCACGAGTAAAGGGGAGACCGGTGAGTAATTCGAGGCTGGGCCGCGAGTCCGGGATGTGCGTGCGTGCGGCGCCAGCAGGGGTTGCCTTCTCGAATCCGCGCCCTTTACCGCGCCGACTCGCCACCCCCGTTACGTGACCTCCCTTCCAACGCGCGGGCAGATTTGACCAATATTTCCGAAGGGTGATACAAAGGGGAACGGGCGGAAAGGGGTGAAGAGGAGAGAGGGGACAAGATCGCTTTATTCGTCCCGAGTAATTTGTCCGCGACGATTTGCGGCGTGACGCAATGGCGACGAATTTCCAACGATGACACGATCTCAGTCGGAACAATTAAAACTCACTTAGCCTCATGGTCAGCATTTAAAAACAAATCTTGCGAGATTCTTCTAAATGAGATTTTCCCACTTATCGCGGAAAAAGTCCAGAAAAAGTAATCGTTATTAATATAAAAACAAACATAACAACGTGACCAATTTGTTATTGAAAAAAATAATCGTTAGCGATAATGACGTTAGAGAACTTTTTTTATTCAGTTTTCATTTAGTAACCTGCTCTATCTGCTCACGAGATAATCCACAAATTACAAAATACTTTATATGTCTAAAGTTGAATCGTGCTTTTGTTCTAAAATAAACGCGATTCTATTCTAGTTATTTATTGATTAAACGTTGTCCGCAATAGAGAAATAAGCAGTAAAAATTGATCAAACACAATCGATTATTCTTCTATAAATTGATTAATTGATTAATTTCTTACGGCTTAAGATTTACTTTTCTATTGTAGATGATGCATTATTGAAGCAAAAATTATTTTGAAAAGTTTTTGATATATTTTACAAGTTTTATCGAGTACAAATATTGTTTATGGAAAAATATTTTAAAACATATTGCAAGAATTTTTGTCACGTGTTTTCACACTTCTGAAGTCGTCAGACCATGTGGCTAAAATGAGCTAGTAGGAATTGAAAATTTATAAATTATTTTCTAAATTATGTTCGATGAATCAATGGTTTTTATATGTGAGTTTAATTTTAAGATTAATATGAACTTAAAGCACGGATATATATACGAAATAAACAATCTTTTAAACATTAAAATATTTTATATAGTTTTGACTTACCTTTATCTCCTCTCCGTCTTCTCTCCTGCGAGATTTACCTTCTATTGAGACTCTTGCTATACTGTGATCTAGGAAGAAAACCTTCTTCTTTTCATAACTTTAGATTAATACTTCTCTCATATAATTTGTCATACAATTGTTTGTACAATATATCCTAATGGAATTCCTTTATATAAAGAAGTCCGCCAGGTAGCTATATTTAGTCATAGTTCATTTTAAGTAAATTTTGTGTTGGACGAATCACGTTTGCCATTCTGTGATTATTTGTAAAATTTAATTTATAATGCTGGAATGCATTTTTAATATTTCTAACATTTTTGCAATTTTACATTGTTATTAATATTGTTTCTGTGTGCAAATAAATTCTTTCATTTTTCATCTGAAAATAATGTGTTGAGTGTTTTTGTACAGGCATTGTAATTTGCAGAAAAATTTTTTTTACATTTCTATTATATAAAAGAGCCACGAGTTATTTTCCATTGCATCCTCTTTCTTTGGTTCATACATCTCGTTTGCATTGCCAAACGCATTCGCGCGTCAATCAGGTTAAAGTCAACGCGTGTTCCAAGGATGCAAATTCTCCCCTCTTCTTTCCTCTTTTTGCCGATCGCAACGGACGTCGATTTCATTTCTTCGACGAACATAGGGTGAAGAGGTCAGTCTGACCGAACTCGTTTCTCGAAGCGGTGGCGAAGCTGCGAGGGTCGTGTGTATTCAAAACGTCCCTCTTTTCCGGTCGACAACCACGAAACGTCTACGAGATCGTCGACGTTTCAGTGAGAGACGCAGTGACGTGCGGCTCTCTCGCAAGTATACATTCGCGTTTTCAATAAACGAGAAATAAACGAGAGCTTACGTTTACTCTCGTCACCGCTTGTAAGCTGGACGGACCCGTCCGCATCTGCTCCGATAGCCGATAAAAACTCGGCCGAGATTCTTCTTCCGTTCTTCTCGGTTTTTCCCTTTTCCGACACTTGGCTCGCTTTTCGAATGTACGTCTCGACGTATCTTATCCGTAGGAGACGATTTGTTGCTTAAACGCACGACACTCCGTGCAAAGAACCACACGGCTCGAGTGCTTTGAAATTTGGACCGTGTAAATCGTCGGAGATTTCGTCGGGCGCACTCTTTCGCAAATTGAAGGCACGTCCGCCCACGACGATACAAATTAATGTTCGTCGTAACATTGGTCGGCCCGTGAATTTATGTATCGTTAATCCGGGACAGGTGCGGCATTGCGACGCCACCGCGCCTTGGCGGGTTAATAATACATCCCGGCGGACGGCGATTTAACATCCGAGCCGTAATTGCTTCATTGTAGACTTTACAACTTAATCGATCGGCATATTTCGTTACGATGTACGGTTTCGCCCGAGGCATGCTGAGATCTGTGTGGTCCATCCTTTCTTTATCTCGTTCTCTCTCGCTCCAACTCTCTCCTTTATCCATCCCTGAATTCTGGACCATTGTGTCTTTCCGCGTTTTTGCTCGTACATACACGGACGACTCACATTGTCGTCGGGAAAATGCGATGCCGCGGGCGAAACTCCGAGCATGGTCGATTAAATTTTTCGCCGATTTGGATTTTCGAAAGGCACTACGTGACTTGTCAACTAGGGTGGGCATGCCAACTTTGTTCATGATTTCTGAAATTATATCTTTTGATAACATAGAAGATATTCGATGCATCTTTCGGGATTTTTTAAATAAATTATAAATTGTAATTAAGTAAGTATAAAAGACAAAAATTTATATAATTTGTCATTGAATGAAGATTCTCCAAATTTTCCGTAATAATCTCGCGCTTGAATGTATTTTTCATGCCTTTCAGAAGAAATTATGTAAAATACTTGTTACAAAAAAAGCATGCGTTTGCGTTGAGATAGATAAAGATTGGGACTTCCCAAGGATAATTAAATATTCTTTAAAAAATCATTAAGATTATCAATCCTATTATAAATTAATTGCACTGTTCATTTTCTATTTTATTTCGTTTTTATTTTTTCTAATTTATCTAATAGCTCAATTTTGTGGCGATAAAATCCTAAAACACGGCAAAATATCGCTTGTATGTTTCCAAATTTCTTTGAATATTACCGATATTATATCCAACTGCTAATCGCATACTCGCGTTCATGCACCCGTTTATCGTCTGTTTCCATTAAAGAATCTCTCGACTTTCTGCAGAGTGCTTTTATACACAAAAGCGCTCTCAATGAAAATGGTTAAATTCCTTGAAATATCCGAGAATGGGATAAGGTACGCGTGCACGTGTCTCCTGGACGCTCTCCTACATCTTTTCGCCTTCTCCGCAGGACATTAAGAGGCAAAGGGACGCGGCCAACTCACGCGTGACGGAGGAAGAGAGAGAGAGAGAGAGAGAGAGAGAGAGAGAGAGAGAGAGAGAGAG